CAGAACGGACAAATCAGACCATGGAACAGCTCATCCGGGCCACGTGCGACGATCCGACCACGTGGGAACAGCAACTGCCACTCATCGAATTTGCATACAACAACTCGCCATCCGCCACGACCCAACAGTCACCATTTTACCTGAACTACGGACAAGACCCCACAGTACCCTTGACCCCGAATCCCGACAACCCAGTCCCACGCGCGCAACAGTTCGCAGAAATATTACAAGCAGCACGGACCCGAGCAGCAGAAGCAATAAAAAAATCAAACGTCATCGCTAAGCGCAACGCCGACCGCCACCGTCGCCCCGTCACTTACCAGCCAGACGACCTAGTTCTACTCGACACCCAGAACCTCCGCCTGCCCATCACCCCAAATCTCCGCCCCCGATATTGCGGGCCATTTCGCATCAGCCACATGATCACACCCGTCACCGCCCATCTCCTCCTCCCTGCTGACTGGTACGTCAGCCCGTCATTCCACGTCAGCCTGCTTTGCCCATACGTGCCATCCACCAGCCAACTGCCTCGCAACCGCCCCGCCAGCATGACACGACCGCCAACCGAGCCAATCATCACACCTGAGAAAATACTGAGCCACCGAGTACGTGACCCACGGGGAGCCCGCAGAATCGAATTCCTGATCCGCTGGAAAGACCGCACACCCACCGAAGACAACTGGGTCCCCCTGGACAGAATTGAGAATCACCCTGTCCTCACCGAGTATCTGCGAAGCCGTAACTTCCGAGATGTACACGCGCTCTCGTAAGAGAAGCCTCCTTGGGGAGGGGGGTAGTGTAAGGAAAATTCCTTTTCCTTACTTCGCGTCCCTGCTCAGCGCGTACACCACTGTTCCCGCCAACAGCACCCAACAGTAAGCCGTTACCACTCGCGACACTCGCCTCGACATCACTCCCGCCACTGTTCACGACGCGACCCAACCTCACGGTTCGGTTGGTAGCCCGCGCTCCGGACCTCCGCCTCGACACTTCCCAACCTCGGCGCCAGGCCCGTCGCGCACCCCAATTTCCACGCATTACCGTTACCACTGTAGTTTCGCTATATATTCTTCGCTCATGTCTTCGCTCATTGTACTCTTGCTTCGATAGTGCAATTCTCGCTCGCTCACTCAATTGCACTCGTAACATCATGTCATAATAGATCATAGATGAGGCTGGCATGGATAGATTTGACTATCACTGATGTTCTTTATTAGCGTTGTTATGCCATGTTCTACCGTTCCTAATCCATGCAGATAAATTGCTGCCATGTACACTCCTTGGGACAAAGTAGATTTTTCAATATGCTTGAGGCAGAGGGCAGGGCAGGGCCTATAATGTGAATGAACGGGTGAGCTGCAAGATGCGCGACAGTGACGACAACACTTAACACTGTAACCAGACAGTCGTCACTACGATTCCGCTGACAATAGCGTCGCGTGACACGGGAATTGAAAGCGGAAACGCGAATCTTTGCGAAATTGTTTCTCATGAAAGTTCAGGCTTGACTTCGCTGAATTTGCGATTCAGACGTGCGTCTGAATGAGGAAGTTGTTACGTGCGTTGCCCGTCATTTTCGCGATTCGGTGTATGTATGAGCCGTATTCCAATGGTTCGAATCGCAGCACGTCGTTATCGCCTCGCCACATTCCCCACCCCATTTCTTCTCTGCCCCCCAAGCCATCCCCTCCCCCCCTCCTCGCCCTCAACCTCTGTCAACGCCGCCGCACTTTCCCTTTCCCCTGTAATCCCCAACCTAGCCCCTAGCCCAACCCTACTTGTAATTCTACAGCCGCCCTTCCCAAGCTCACAACCTTCAGCCGGCAGTGCGCGCGCGAATCAACGAGACGCACTCTCGTCGAGCAATGCCGTAGTTAGAGATGGTTGTCACAGGGACACAGCTCGGCGAGGTCCTCCGGGTAGATCTCCTTGGTACGCTTCTGCCGACCGATGATAGCACACTGACCAATGATATGACAGTTAGCACAGTAGCTCCGTCGGTACCTTCCCTTCGCTCTTACCAAACGTACCGTCTCTTGCACTTCAAGTTCCCGTCGCGTAAACATACGATTATGCAGAGTAATGGTCTTAAATCCAACGCTGGGTGATCCTCGCTTAGCAGTGCCCTAGAAAATAAGCACGATGACGAGGGCATTTCTCTTTCGCAGCGTGACTTCTAGTATCCTCTTAACTCTAGCCCTCCTCGAGATTGCCGCGCACGCAAAAACAGTGACCGCAGCACCCGGGAATGGCAGCGAGCAGAGTCCGCCCCCCGATCTAGTGCCCAAGGAAGAAATTCTATCCACCTGCAAGTTTCCAGGTGCACTTCTTTTGCCCGCCAGTTCGTACCGATGGCTCGAATCGACTAAAATCGCTTTTGAAGTGACTCAAAACACGCGGTGGTAGCAAGGGTCGCCCCAGATGTACGGAAGACGTGCTCTCACATTTCCCGATCTGCGATTGCATCACATGCATTCGGCAATGCAACGGAATTAATCATTGTTGCATGCTTCACGTGTTGCTTGCAGGTGAGATCAATATCACGGTTTCCCCAGATTTCATCGGAACCACGTGGCACGGGTGGGGAACTTCGCTCGCCTGGTTCGCGAATTACGTCGGTGGCTTGCCGCAGAAGCAGCGGACCGCAATTCTCGACCTTATTTTCGACCCAACCAACGGCTTAGGTCTCAACATCGTGCGTTACAACATCGGAGGGGGACACAACAATACACTCAGTCCGCAGTTTAATCAGAGCTTGGAGGCGCATTGGAGGGGCATCCCAGGTTACAAGCCGACAAAGGACGGGCCGTACAATTGGAACGCGGACGAGCGGCAGCGGAAGGTGCTGCTGGGAGCGAAGGAGAGAGGAGCGAATGTTTTTGAGGCGTTTTCAAACAGCCCACCGTGGTGGATGACCAAATCGGGTGACGTGTCAGGTGCGGCTTCGAAAGGGGAGACGAATATGCGGCCTGAGTATGAAGACGATTTCGCAGACTACTTGACGACAGTCGTGGCGGAGTTCGCGAAAAGGTGGGGAGTTACTTTCGATGCATTGGAGCCGTTTAACGAGGCGTTGGAAGGGTTTTGGATGGTCGGTAAGGATCACGAGGGGTGTAATTTCAATCCGCCGGAGATGGGGCGAGTCATAAAGTACACTTCAGACTCGTTACAAGCTAAGGGGTTGACAACGAAGTTGGTGGGGGTGGACAGCTGGGATGGAACGACAGCGCAGGTACTTAAGGTTTCGAATCGTGAGCTACTAACGCGGATAAACGTTCATGCGTACGTTAATCAGTACTTCAAGGAGGGTGTGGCTGAGACTTACGAAGGCAGATACGGCAGCATACGCGACACGGGGAAGAAGCTGGGGAAGGAGGTGTGGGTTAGCGAAGCAGGAGCGTTGGGAAAAAACGGGAGCTTTTGGGACCTTTCACTGTACATGGCGCGAAACGTTATCGAGAGCGTCAATATCATGGAGGCTTCTGCGTACCACGTCTGGCAGGCGTACGATTTTGCGGCGCATTGGTCATGCATCGACTTCCCCCCGGATTATCCACCCGGCTACAGTGGTGAAATTGTGATGCCTACTGTGAACAAAAGGTTTTGGATTTTCAAGCATTTCACCATGCTTGCCAAACCTGGATCCAAGCCGCTGAAGGTACGGTTGGGTTGTATACACGGCGTGAGCGCATTCTACAACCCCGGCGAAAACCAGGTTACAGTTTTCATCGTGACTCAGAAGGCAGTAGACCGGCAGGTGGTGATTACTCTAGACGGTTTTACGAGGAACGTGGGTGGAACTACCAAGGTCGTTATAAGGCGTACAAATTCGACTTCGAATTTCGACCGCACGGTGTACACACAGAAAGTAGCGAGGTTGACTGTATGGGGACAGAACTTCGTTTCTGTCACCTTCACTAACGTGTCACCTTCACCTGAGAGACTAGGCTTCAACAGCACTGCTGCTAGTGCTGGGTCTATAAACAGAGCTTTGTTTGTCACTTTAATTAGTCTGTTGCTGGTAGCTGCAGCAGCCACCACCATGTGATGACTCCTTACCCCAGCTATGGCTCTAGCAGCTAGAGGTGGGAAGTTATGTCAGTGTTTATTATAGTTTGAGCTGGCATGGAAAGGCTTGTCACTGTCTCAGATCTCATCCATTAGCCGATCCAATCCAATGGTAGTCGACCCAAGACAGACAGACTGATCCCTCGCCTGATTGTGCTATAGACTATCAGTGCAACGATGACGAGGAGTTTGTTCCTTTGCGGAGTGTCCTTCAGTGTCCTACTAGCTTTAGCCCTCCTTGAGATTGCTGCGCACCCGAAAACAGTGACGGCAGCACGCCGCGCCGGCGTCGCCGATGGCAACAAGCAAGCTCCGGCCCCCATAGCTGTCCAAATATGACGTACAATGGGCCTGAACTGATAATAACATCCTATAATAACCTTCCATCTTATCGAGTACGCAATGTTGAGGCCAATGTCTTTGACGTTGCTGGGGTTGTGGTTGCATTGATGAGAGTTGCCATTAGGGTACATTCCTCCCTTGACACTTGTGTCTCAAATGTATTGTGACGCGAAAAAACAGCATAGAACGTGCTATGTCACAAACGCGTGTCGCCCTAATGCGAATGTACCCCTATTTTACATTGGTCAGCGTCACTTGCGCCGGTGTCGCGGACGAGTTGGACGAGGCCGCGTCACCGCCGTGAAATCGCACGCACGATCAATGTCGAGCAATTCCACAGCCATGCCGCATGCACCTGGACGCATGACCCCTTGACAGTTTAGCGCGGGAATCAACCCCGCCATCCCTGGGCAGCATCGAAAGGGGTTACCATTCCTCGTGATACACGCAAGGCTGCCCAACGAAACCACCACAGATCTAGAGCCACCTCTCCAACCTGGAGCAAGGATGACTTCGAGTCCATCCTCTTGGTAGTTCATTCTGTGTTTCTTGTTTCACGGGCCCGCAAGCTCAGAAGCCCTCTCAACGCCATGGCTCGTAAGCGCAAGAGCGCCGCTGAAGCCGCCAACGTGACCCCGCGGGATCTCAGTGAGATCCCGTATATTGCTTGGATGCACAAGCCGCCCGGCCCGCAGCCAGTCGACACTCCTTCGCGTGGCGACACCTCCTACCAGGCCCCCCGTGACGTCCCGACGCGCGGGCGCCGTAACGCCGACCGTGTGGCGTCTTCGCGCAGTCCCGATGCAACCACGTATGACGAGGGTGAGGACGACGCAGACTACAACGAGGAGGCATACTGCACGGACGACGACGCGGACTCCGGAGAAGAGCCTGACAAGGGCATGTCAGACTCCGATGCGGAGAGCGACGACGACGACGCACCGGAAGAATCGCAGCCCGCAACTCCGCCTGTTCGCCGCGGTCGTGGTAAGGCGGCACCGGGGGACAAGGGCGCCACTGTTGGCGGGGAGCCCCCCCGCCGTCCACCAAAGACCCGGGAGCCCATGCCGGTGAAGCGCAGTGTGTGGTCGCCCACGGAGAGCACGATTCTCGTGGCCGCCCGCTGGTTCATGAAGGATGAGCTGGACCCGCTTCTGGGTAAGCAGGGATCCCAGTATTGGGCCCGCCTCGTGCGCCACATCGAGACCGAGAATGAAGGATGGGTCCGCGGCGTCAACGCCGTGCAGAAACAGTGGCGCAACCTCGTCCAAATGTACAAGCAGCTGCAGAAGGCGGACAAGGCCTCCGGCAACGGCGTGGTGTGTAAGCCGCCATGGTGGCCGTACATGGTGTTATTGCAGAACAACCGTGCAGTCGCAGCGCCACACGCCGTCGCCGCCGGCGGTGCCACACACGTGAATGCGCCGACCGGTTTCGCGGTGCCGTCGACGTCCGCGCCATGCACCTCAACGCCCACGTTCACCGGTGAGCAATTTTCTGTTGCTTTGCACGTATTCGCTTTGTTTGTACAAACAAGTAGATGTGCAATATCAATGTCATTTACGCTTTGTGTCATACGGCACAACATCACTGCGAACTCATTCGACCCTACTGTAACATGTGAACGTGCAGCCCCCCCTCCGGTGACGCCTCCCTCCAAGCGCCCTCGAGTAGCGGAGACGGCTACCATGGCCGCGGCAAAACTTGTCGCCGACACCATCAAGGATTGCCACGCGGATGCGATGGCAAAGCTGGAGGGGCTCGTCCGCGCTTGGATGCAACAGGACGCCGAGATTGCACGCGCCCGCAACCAGCCGCCGGCCCCTCCGCCACCACCCGTCAACGTCGCCCCCGCGGATGCCGCCACACAGCCCGCCGCGGCCGCCGCCGAATGCGACGACGGAGTCTGGTTCCGCCGCTGTGAGCACGGCGGTGGCGAAGCTACTCCGGACGAGGCTGAGGAAGTGTGGGTTCGCGGCGACGCCGTGTAAGGTAGGAAGACTCCAACGCTTCACCGAGCCTCTTCCGCCTTTCACGGAGAGTCGCCTGGTTGCACGGCACGGCCGACTCCCACTTGAATTCCGCTGCTGCGCCGCGGGTCCACCATGGATCCCGGTTCCGTGGCAAGTTGGCCCATCCCTCATTGCGACGCCTCACGTCCCCCATCGTCTCACACATGTTGTGCAGGACTACACAACAAGACGCCCCTGCAAGGACGCGCCACAGCGTACAGTCATTGCGGCCTGCGAAGAGCCTCCACCTGCCTTTGAAGGCGCCGATGCAGCGCTCCACTGCCATGCGCGTCGCGCTTTGGCAGTAGTTGAAGCACTGCTCCCAATCCTCCATTAGGCCTTCGCGGGGTGCATGCAGGGGGGTTAGGCAGAAATCCCGCAGGGGGTAGCCTGCATCTCCGACTATTTGATAAGGCGCAATGTCGCCGTTTTGCAACCTCTCATGTAACGCACTGTCCATGAACACGCGTTGGTCGTGTGCGCTCCCAGGGTAACCGATCAGGAAGTCCCAGATGATGCCGCGTGCATCGCACGTCACCTGCAACTGCACGGCGTATGCGGACTTGCGTGTCCAGTACTCTTGCCTGTGCCCCTCCATCCCCTTCATGTGTACGTGTGTCCCATCAATAGCCCCCACTACCGCAGGTACCCCTTTGACGGCGCGAAACTCCTCGGCCATTTCGTCAAGGTCATCGCGGGTGGGGAAGTGCACCCACTGTTGTTTGAAGACCGTGGCGAAATGCATCAGCCACACATCGACGAGCTCGTGGCACAATGTCTTCGACAACCCGAATAGGTGAGAAAGGTCTATGTACGAGGGTCCACTCGCCAGGTACTTGATCGGCACAAGGTTTGCCACCTCGTGGGTAATGTGGTACCGGTCCACGTACGGCTGCATGTAGTGCTTCATGCCCTCGGCCACGTGTGCGAGAATCGCCCTGTTAATTCGGTAAATGTCCCTAAACTCTCCGTCTCCCATACCCTGCAGGTCCTCCAGCAGCAAGGCGTAACGCCGGCGCCTCAAGCTACCTCTCCTTGCACGCTCGGCGCTTCTGGTGGAGCTGTGAGACGTCGCGGTAGACGTGTTCTCGTCGTCGAAGACTTGGGACTCCAGCAAGCCGACTACCCCCTTGGCGACCGCGTCCATAAAGATGCCGTAGTAGAACGAGATCCATGCGACTAGGAGTCGCATGAGGAAGGGAACAGCCCTGGGTTCTGCCATGGCTGATTTGAGTGGGGGCCATGCTGTGCTTGCTTTGCGTTTTTATGTTTGAAGTTGTAGTTGTAGGCGCATTGTGGCTCTGTGGTGGTTGTTGGTTTCGCCAACTAGAAACAACACGTTTGGAACTACTGATTTAACCAGGCTGCCCGGTGCCTTCATATTCCGCTCGGTGCAAAAGACCCGGGTCCAATCGCAAGACGACAGGTGTACAACATTTTGAATCGCTCAATGTCGCGGTACATCCGTTTTTTTGTGACGTGTAGATAGGCAAATTTACAGGCGCGACTCGGGAATGCAGGCATTGAGACATTTGTGTCAAGGCAGGAATGTACCCTTAGACATGTGCAAGGAGAATTGCCATCACAAGGTGGAGGCGAATTGAGTATTTTGTTCGCTGCAGGGTTCAGGTTGTCATAAGGTTCAGGTTTGAAAGTACACGAAAGTTGGTGTATTTTTACGGAAAGTGACGTCATCTGAAATATGCTGCCTCTTCCACCTTCTGAACCGACTTCAGTGTGTGAAAAGGGATTCTGATTGGCGGATGCCACATCGACAATGTTTTGGATGAAGGGTGGAAGGACCCAGCCAGAATCATCACCCGCGTCCTGGCGGTCGTTGCATTCACTGACCTATCTCTGAACCCAAGAATGTCTCGGGTAGGTTCCCGATACCAGGGCTATTTAGAAATATAGGACATTTCACAAAGTGCTTCTGAAAACTTTGAATGACCCGCTCTATGGTTCAGACTGCTCGAGAATTAGGGTCTACACCTGGGTTCCATCGGCGTAATCGGGTTCCACCAGCACCTAAGCTCCACCTTTATATACGACGAGCACCCCCAACTTCCACCACATCCTCAGCGTTTCCACTCCACAGACGACAAACTTCGTCCAGCTCGACCGGGACTCAAGAGATCTCGAGTAACAATTTCACTTGCTGCTGTGCACCCTACGGTTTTCACGGAACGAAACCATGTTTTGCTGACGACGAGCCAAGTCCAACAACGGCTTTGTCGCTCGGCAGGATCGAGGGAAAGTTCGTTCCTGCAACAATCCCTCCCTCCCAAGATTCGGGGTGGAGGAACCTTGGGGACTGCGCTGCAGTCATCCACTGTAACTTGCAACCTGTGGGAGGGACATCATTCGTGCTCCCTTTCCGTTCGGTTCAGGACGATACTGTGCAATCTGGAACGGTCTTTCCGTTTCACCGCTTTGAACCGTTCGTTACTCACCAACATCGATTTATATGAACTGTGAACCAACAAATGTGACGCGCCGTGGCTGTTGTGGGTTCTGCGTGCAGAGAGATCGATGACGGACGCTGCTCGTTCATGCCATTTGCACTTGCCACTGGCTCCAGTTACCACCAACAGTCAGCTTTTCCGTAGACTAAGGATTGCGGCTACCTAGGCGCAATAGATGCAATTAGCCACTAACTAGGCAACGAAAAGTCACCTGGTCTTTAGTAGCTACCACTAGCAAGATTTGTAGCAAGTCCTCTCTTTCGTCTGGACGCATTCGCATGTCGCTGCAGCCAGCTTTCATCTATAACCTTTGTTTCTTAGGCCGTGTCCCAACAGTACGTCTACAGTTCTTTCTTCGTGGCTCAGGACGGTTCCACAAGGTGGAAAGCGGTTCTTGAGCTCCACTACTTTGTACTGCGACGCACCGAAATCGACCGCATAGAAGGAACGAGAGACGTACTATTGGGACACGTCCTTAGGCCATGCCGCTAACTGTGACCTATCAGGCTCCTCCTCCCATCCATAGAAACTTCTCTCCTGGGAGTTCTACCCCACAAACACTAGCAGGACCCGTCGGGAACGGAATACCCGGCGGAAATGGCGGCGGGAATGGCGGTGGAAAGCCCGGAAAGCCCGGACAAGGCCTTACGGTCTTAGGGTTTGTTCAACAGGCGCAGTTCGTGCAGTTCGTGCTTGACCCTTGGACCGCTCGAATATGCGCCGCGAGCGAGGGTGCATGCGACGCGTTAGGTTACACCCCTGAGGAGCTAGAAGCGCTGACGCTATGCGGTTTAGTTGACGGCTTGCCGTTACCGGAATGGCTACAGCTGGTTGCTCCCCTCGCGACCGGGGAGCAGCGCGGCGCGAAGCTCGACGCGGTTTTGAGACTAGGAAGCGGAGCAGGCGGGGCGGGCGGAAGCGCAGCGGAAACGGGGGGGGAAACGAAAATGAGAGTTTCATTGGGGGGGACGGCATTGGCCGGTCCAGTAGCCGAAGCAGCGGAGGAGGTTCGGAAGCAGCAGGGTTGTCGCTGGTTCGGCGGAAGACTTGGGGAGCGGGAGCTGGCGGCGCGGGACGAGGCGGAAGCGGAGGCGGAGGTGGAGGCGGGGGAGTAAGGGCGGGGATTTCCGCGGGTGCGGAGGTTTCTGCGCTGCACGCGGGGTTGCGCACGAGCACGTCGGAGGACGTGCGGTCGTTCTCGTCCACGTCAGACAGCTTCACGCGGGACGGGTTCGCGCAGAATCAGATATTTTCGGATGATGACGACGACGATGACGAGGACGACTATGGCGGAGACGGGATGGGGGGCGCGCAGTGGGCGGAAGATGGTGCGGCGAGGCGGAGGAGCAGGCGGAGGCACAGGGAGGGGCGGAAACGGCACCAGCAGCAGCAGCAGGGGAGGGAACAGAGACAGGAGCAGGAGAAGCAGTTGGGACAGGAGCAGCAGGCGAGGGAGCAGCAGGTGGTAACCGCTCACGGCGAGACTCGCGAAACGAGCAGTGGCGCGTGTGCTGGTGGCAGGTCACCCGTTCTGTATACCATTATGCTTCAATACTTCGAGAGTAACGGGGAGCGCGAGCTTGTAGCAACGGCGCACCAACTCCCGCAACAGCAGGCGCAGGCGCAGCAGGGGCAGGCGCAGCAGGGGAAGAATGGCGGCGATCTTGACGTTAACGATGACGTTCACGCTGACGTTGACGTTGACGATCCCGCGTCCCCATAACCCAAGTCTTTTTCCCTTACCACTCAACCACAGACGGCCTCCGGCGGGCCGGGCGCCGCGAGGTGCCTCTTAGTAGGCTCCTTAAGCCACGGAAGCGGCTCGGAGAAGCAGGACGGGAGCGTCAGGGTTGGGGAGGGCGCAGCGGGGGGGATTGGCGGAAGCTGGGATATTGAGGGGGGCGGAAGCGGGGAGGGCGGTGGCTGCGGGCGCGATAGTGCGGGTTCCGCGCTTAGGCGGGAAGCTAGTCTAGGGCCAGGGTTACGGCGGGAGAGCAGCATAGGGACGGGTCTTCGGCGGGAGAGTAGCATAGGCTCGGGGCGCTTACCGCCTTTGCATTCCCAGTCTAACGATGGCGCGGCGAGCGTTCCCCCGCGTGCGTTTGTGCACGCGCATGCTCACGCGAACGTAGACATGGGCGCGGGCGCGAGTGTAAACGCGAATACGAGGGCGAATGTGATTGCAGCAGCGCAGATTAATCCGCAGCAGGCGGGAAATAGGCCGCGGTTGAAGGAGTTTAAAGATAACGAGCTGACGTGGAAAGAGCAGGTGACGTGGCAGCAGGGGGAAGGCGCGAGCGGGGGGAGCAGGGGGATAGGTGGTGGCGGCGGAGGGAGCGGGGGGAGCAGGGCAAAGACGGGAAGCAGGGTGAGCAGGGGGAGAATGGGGGGAAGAGGGGGAAGAGGGGGAGGACTGGGGCGCCAACGAAGCTTAGACGCGAATTTCGTGCAGGAGATAGGTTCTGGGGGGGATAACTGGGGCATCGTAGGTTCTGGAGGGGGGAACTGGGGCATAGCAGGTTCCGCCAGTGAGAGCGATTCTGAGGAGGATTTCCCGCGGGGCCCTAGGGGGGTTGCGGAAGGGGAGCGGATGGGGGGAGCGGATCGGTTTGGGGGGAGCGGAATCGGGGGCGGAGGGGGGAGTGTGATGAGCGGAGGGGGGAGAACGGGGGGAGCGGGGGCGGGGGGGAAGATAGTCCGGGGGATGGTGGCTATGTCCCCTGAGAGGCGGTGGCGTGGCACGAGCGTAGGGGGAAGGGGGAAGACTGGGGGGTCGTGGGGCGGAGAGAGGGGGTTTGTGGCGGAAGAAGGGGAATTCGAGGCGGAGGGGGGGGCGAGTGGGGGAGGAAGGGGAGAGGGGAGGGGAGAGGGAAGGGTGGAGGGGAGGGGGGCGGGGAGGAAGCAGGAAAGGAAGCAGGTGGAGGCTGTTGCTGTTGTTGGTGGTGGTGATAGTGATGAGGAGAATTGTATCGGGCCTACGAGGGCACAGACGCTGGGAAGGCTGTCTGAAAGGGCTGGGAGAAGGATGAGGTTTAAATCAGGTGAGTGAGAAAGGAGAGAGGGAGAGAAACTGGTGATGAAGGTGGCGAGATCTGTGTGTTGGGTCCTCATCCACCTTCATCACCTTCCTAGCCTGGTGTGTTGGGCCATAGGAAGACTAGGAAGAAACTGGGAGGGTGCAGACGTTAGAAAGGCTGTTTGAAGAAATTGGGAGAATCAGCTTAAGCAGCCTTTCTAACTTAACCAGAGGGAAAGAAAAGAGACGGGCGGAGGTGGTTGGAGAGGAGAAGGGGGAAATTGGAATACTCAATGGTTACCTCTTTGTGGCTTTGTCTTGTGCATTCTCTTTTATTATACACCGATTCTCATCCCGCCCCTCAATACCCCATCCACCCATCCCTACCCACTCTCTCCCAATTCCCTCCCTCCCTCCTACCTTCTCCCTCGGCCCACACCCCCTCCCCCATTCCACAACTCCCCCCATTCCCCTCCCCACATCGCCATCCCACCCCACCGTTTCCCCCCCTTCCCCCCTTCCCCACCCCTGGCAGAGGGTGGCGGCTTCACCCACTCTTGGCTGGATGACGTGGCGGACTCCCATTGGCTCCCGGACCTGCACGTCCGGGCCCTCCTGGACGAAGCAGGGATAGGCCTGGCGGGGCTCCGCCTGGGCAGTGGCGAGCTGGTTCACTGCAGCGCTGCTCTCGCCGCCATGCTGGGACGATCAGTGAATGCGTTGGAAGGAAGTCCGTTGCAGAACTTCCTCAGCGCCCCTGCCATTCGCAGCTTCCAGGTGGGTGTGCTGTGCCAGTCGCTGTGAGCTCCCCTGGACGCAGCAGGCAGGGATAGGCCTCGCGGGGCTCCGCCTGGGCAGTGGCGAGCTGGTGCACTGCAGCGCTGCTCTGTCCACCATGCTGGGACGATCTGCCCAGTCCGTGAAGGGGACCCTGTGGCAAGTCTCTGAGCAGGACTGGGCAGATCCTGCTCAGAATATCAGACCCCTGCTGGGGTCCCCTGCAGGACTGGGCGGAGTCTCTGAGCAGGACTGGGGCTCAGAGTATCAGACCCCTGCTGTCCCTTCATTCGTCTCTCCCTCTCTGTCACCCTCCCCTGCCCTGCCTGGGCTGCCCCCTCCTCTCCCCTGCCTCTGCAACATCCCTTTGCATTGCCTCACATAGACTCCCTCCCCCGCTCCCCTCTCCTCGCCCTCCCCCCCCCCCCTCCCCTTCCCCCTCCCCCTTTTTCCCTTCCCCCTCCCCCCCTTTCCCTTCCCCCTCACTCCCCCTCCTCCCCTGCCCCCCTCAACCCCACCCTCAGAGCTGGTTCGGCAGCATATCAGCAGCGACTCTATCAGCACACGCACAGCACCTATCACCTCATGCCACGTGGCACAGGCAGTCCCACCATGACCTGCCCGTCGTCATGCCAGGTGGGTCATATGTGTGTGTGCTCTGTGCTGTGCTGTGCTGTGCTGTGCTGTGCTGTGCTGTGCTGTGCTGTGCTGTGCTGTGCTGTGCTGTGCTGTGCTGTGCTGTGCGCCACCCATGCGTGCGTGGTGCGTTTGTGCGTTCTGTCCAGCTCTCTCTCTCTCTCTTATCCTTCCTCCATCCATCCCCATCTATCATTTTTCAGGAGGCAGCATGCGGCGCATTCGTCTCACATGCCACGTGCCACAAGCAGAAGGAATATGCCTAACATGCATCCATCTCCCCATTACAACCCTTCAGGAGGCAGCATGCGGCGTATTCGCCTCACATGCCACGTGGCGCTAGCAGAAGGAATATGCCTAACATGCATCCATCTCCCCATTACAACCCTTCAGGAGGCAGCATGCGGCGTATTCGCCTCACATGCCACGTGGCGCTAGCAGCAGGTGCTGCAGATGGGGTGCGTTGTTTGATCCGAGTCACTCAGACCTCGTCCCCCTCTCTTCTCCTTCCCCCATCCATCCCCTCCTACAACCGATGAAGTTGAAATTTGTTGGATTCGAAACGCAGCAAGCCTACTAAGAGTCACGATCTGTAGTACTGAGTCTACTAATCTGAAAATCGAGGGAAGTAGTGAGAAAAGGTCTACTAATCAGAAAGCCAGACACATTAGGCCTGGATGTCGCGTGTGAACGCGTTTCGGCCAGCAAAGGCCTCGTCCCCCTCTCTTCTCCTTCCCCCATCCATCCCCTCCTACAACCCACCAGGAGGCAGCATGCGGCACATTCGCCTCACATTCCACGTGGCACCAGCAGTAGATGGGGCGGGTGGGGTGTATTGCTTGATCCGAGTCACTCATACCTCGTCCCCCTCTCTTCTCCTTCCCCCATCCACCTCCCTACAAACCCACCAGGAGGCAGCATGCAGCGCATTCGCCTCACATTTTATGTGGCGCCGGCGGCGGGTGGGGCTGGTGGGGTGTGTTGCCTACCCTCGCGCAACCTCCCGTCTCATATCCGTCCCCCATCCATTCCCCCCTTCAACCCCTCAGGAGGCAGCATGCGGCGCATTCGTCTCACATGCCACGTGGCACCGGCAGCAGATGCTGCGGGTTGGGTGTGTTGCCTACTCTCGCACAACCTCCCCTCTCTTCTCGTCCACCCATCCATCCCTCCCTACAACCTCACAGGAGGCAGCATGCGGCGCATTCGTCTCACATGCCACGTGGCACCAGCAGCAGATGGGGCAGATGGGGTGTGTTGCTTGATCCGAGTCACTCAGACCTCGTCCCCCTCTCTTCTCCTTCCCCCTTCCACCTCCATTCAACCCCTCAGGAGGCAGCATGAGGCGCATTCGCCTCACATGCCACGTGGCACCGGCAGCGGATGGGGCGAGTGGGGGGCGGGGCGATGACCCCCCCTCCATGCTCATGGCTCTCTTCTGCGACCTCTCTGCTGCTCTGCACGGCTCCAAGGTGAGGGGTGAAAGGGGTCAGCAGTTGTGGCGCATACGCTTCGCTTCCCTGTCTCCTTACCCCATCCTACCCCACCGCACTTCATTCCAACCTCCTTACTCACCTCATTCCAACCTGCCGCATCCCTTCCTACCGCACAAGAGGAAGTACCAAGCGGTGTGCTTTTATTTTCCAGCACCTGCCGGCAGGAGTGGCGCACATAATCTCTTGCCGCGTACACCATATCCCAACCCTTCCCATCCCAATCCGCCCCACCGCATTCCACCCCACTGCACAACAGGAGGTGCGAGCGAAGCGGTGTGCTTTCATTCTCCAGCACCTGCCAGCAGGAGTGGCGCATATAACTGTACCCCGTCCCACCCTGCTCCACTGCACTTAATCGTATTTCACCCTCCCCCAACCCGCCCCACCGCTTTCCACCCCACTACACAACAGGAGGTGCGAGCGAAGCGGTGTGCGTTCATTCTGCAGCACCTGCCAGCAGGAGTGGCACACATGCTTCCAGAGGAGCGAACCAGAGGGGGAAGCGGAGGGGGGGAAGGAAGTGGCGCGTTTGCTCCCGTACACCTCCTTGCTCCGTCTCACCCTATTTGACTGCTCTTAACCATACTTCACCCCATCCCAACTGGCCTCGCTTCTTTCCACCCCTCTGTACAACAGGAGGTGCGAGCCAAGCGGTGTGCGTTCATTCTGCAGCACCTGCCAGCAGGAGTGGCACACATGCTTCCAGAGGAGCGAACCAGAGGGGGAAGCGGAGGGGGAGGGAGTGGTGGGGGGAGCGGCAACAGTGCTGGCAGTGGTAGGGGCAGTTGGGGGGAGAGGAGCGGTGGGGGGAGTGGTAACAGCGCTGGCAGTGGCAGGGGAAGTTTGGGGGAGAGGAGCGGCGGCAGCAGCAACGGGGATGAGGTGGTTATTAACCCTCATATGGAGGCAATTACGGGGTATTCACGGGAGGAGCTGAGTACGGTTGACTCGTGGTTCTCGTGCCTCTTCAGGGAAAGGGCGGAAGAGGTGAGAGGGAGGGAGAGTCTGAGAGTGGGAGACTGGGAAGCAGATGGAGAGTATAAGATGAGTGTGAGGGAGTGAAGGGAGTGAAGGGAGTGTGACGGAGTGGAATACGGTGGGCTCGTGGTTGTCGTGCCTCTTCAGGGAAAGGGCGGAAGAGATACGAAGGGGGGGAAAAGGGAGCGTGAGACTGGGGGAGGGAGAGTGGGATAAGGCGAAAAGGAGAGTGTGAGGAAGTTCATGTGGGGGAGTGCCGGTGACAGACTGTGGAGGCAAATCCTCGAGGCGGATCGTGCAACGGGGTTCAGAGAGTCGAGAGGATGGTGCGGAGGGATGGAGAACCGCGGCGCGGTGGCTGGAGGCGGCAATCAGTGTGTGCCCGTGTCTCTTACCCCCTCACACCCTGTGCCTCCTGCCGCGCCGCCCCCACAGGTGCGGCAAATCCTGGAGGCAGACCGTGCAATGGGGTTCAGGGAGTCGAGAACCCTACGAATGGTGCGCAGGGATGGAGAGCCGCGGTGGTTAGAGGTGGCAGTGAGGGACTGTCTGTGTGCCTACAGCGTGTCTCTCCCATACCCTCTTCCGCATACCCTCACGCCCCCACAGGTGCGGCAAATCCTGGAGGCAGACCGTGCAATGGGGTTCAGGGAGTCGAGAACTCTACGATTGGTGCGCAGGGATGGAGAACCCAGGTGGCTGGAGGTGGCTGTGAGGGACTGTGGAGCCGGAGGGGGCGACCTGTGGGTGGTGAGCGACATCAACCAATCACCCAATCCGTGTGTGCCTGCGTCTCTTGCCCACGCCCTGTGCCACCCCACCCCACTCCTTCACTTCCTCGCTCCTTCACAGGTGCGGCAAATTCTCGAGGCGGACAGGGCGATGGGATTCAGGGAGTCTCGCACGTTGAGGATGGTGCGCAGGGATGGCGAGCCGCGGTGGTTAGAGGTGGCGGTGAGGGACTGTGGAGCCGGAGGGGCGACCTGTGGGTGGTGAGCGACATCACAGACCACCTGATCGTGCGGGAGAAGTTCCGCCTGCTCTATGAAGCCTCCTCGGTGAGTCAGTGGGTGGCGGGTTTGGCTCATTGCTTGCATGCTTGCTTGCTTCCCCTTGGGTTGCTCCCACCCACCTACAATCACACCTGTGGGTGGTCAGCGACATCACGGACCATCTGATCGTGCGGGAGAAGTTCCGCCTGCTCTATGAAGCCTCCTCGGTGAGTGGTGGTTGGTGGGTTTGGCCCATTGCTTGCATGCTTCCCCTTGGTTTGTTCCCTCCAACCCATCACACCCGTGGGTGGTCACATCACATTTGGTGCCCCCCTCCACCCACCTACAACCACACCTGTGGGTGGTGAGCGACATCACAGACCATCTGATCGTGCGGGAGAAGGTCCGCCTGCTCTATGAAGCCTCCTCGGTGAGTGAGCGGGTGGTGGGTTCTGGTTGCTAGCTTGTGTCCTGTTTTGTTTGTTCCAACCAACGGGCATCACAGAGTGCAACGACGCCGCCATCCATCCACTGCCTGCGCTGCAACGTGCTCTCCTGTTCCTGTCCCGTCCATGCTTAATCGCTGACTTTCCTCTTCCCTCCTGCCCTCAGGACGGGTACCTTTATTCGACGACAAGGGGCATGACAGAGTGCAACGACGCCGCCATCCACTGCCTGCGCTGCAACGTGCTCTCCTGTTCCTGTCCCGTCCATGCTTTTGAGAATTCTCAAAAGTCACTCCTGTTCCTGTCCCGTCCATGCAGCATGGACGGGACGTGCTTAATCGCTGACTTTCCTCTTCCCCCGCCTGCCCTCAGGACGGCTATCTTGTATTCGATGACGCCGCCCTCCACTGCCTGCGCTGCACTCCTTTTTCCCACCTTCTCCCTCTCGCCCACCCCTTGCTGTCTCCTCCCCCGCCTGCCCTCAGGACGGGTACCTAGTGTTTGACGACACAGGGATCACAGAGTGCAACAATGCGGCCATCCACTGCCTGCGCTGCAATGTGCACCCCCTCCACCCTTTCTCCTTCCCCACCCCCTCAGGACGGCTATCTGGTATTCGACGACACAGGGATCACGGAGTGCAACGATGCGGCCATCCACTGCCTGCGCTGCAATGTGCACCCCCTCCACCCTTTCTCCTTCCCCACCCCCTCAGGACGGCTATCTGGTATTCGACGACACAGGGATCACGGAGTGCAACGATGCGGCCATCCACTGCCTGCGCTGCAATGTGCACCCCCTCCACCCTTTCTCCTTCCCCACCCCCTCAGGACGGCTATCTGGTATTCGACGACACAGGGATCACGGAGTGCAACGATGCGGCCATCCACTGCCTGCGCTGCAATGTGCACCCCCTCCACCCTTTCTCCTTCCCCACCCCCTCAGGACGGCTATCTGGTATTCGACGACACAGGGATCACGGAGTGCAACGATGCGGCCATCCACTGCCTGCGCTGCAATGTGCACCCCTCCACCCTTTCTCCTTCCCCACCCCCTCAGGACGGCTATCTGGTATTCGACGACACAGGGATCACGGAGTGCAACGACGCGGCCATCCACTGCCTGCGCTGCAGTGACAAGAGCGAGCTCATGTTTCCCCACCTCCCGCCTCCTACCCCTCCGTTCCCCTTTCCCCTGCAGGACGGCTATTTGGTATTCGATGACACGGGCATAACAGAGTGCAACGACGCGGCCATCCACTGCCTGCGCTGCAGCGACAAGAGCGAGCTCATCGGGCGGCATCCCGCGTACTTTTCCCCCGAGCGCCAGCCGGACGGGCGGCGGTCGGACGAGAAGGCAGTTGAGATGGTGGCGATGGCGACGGAGACTGGCATGCACAAGTGAGTAGAGGAGAGGGATATGAGCAGTGAGGCATGAGCATGCGTACATTGAGCTGTCTTGATGCGCCTCAGCACTGGCAAGCGGTCGGACGAGAAGGCGGTTGAGATGGTGGCTCTGGCGACTGAAACAGGCATGCACAAGTGAGTAGAGTTTCGTTGACAAGTGAGTTGGGATGATAGTTGTTGTGCAAGAGCGAGAAGGAGAGGGTTGAAAGCCTAGCACGATCCAGTTGGACGAGAAGGCGGTTGAGATGGTGGCTCTGGCGACTGAAACAGGCATGCACAAGTGAGTAGAGAGATATGAGCTGCCTGCGATGCGAGGTTCGAGGATGCACGAGTGATTTGAGCTGCTGTGAGATCTTCTGACCATGCATGGATTGAGCTGCCGCAGGTGCATGCTCGACTGAAAAGGGCAGGGCATGCACACCCTCCCTCTGGCGCCCTCCACCCTCTCCGGCCCCTCCTACCCCACCTCTGCAGGTTTGAGTGGTGGGTGGGTAGGGTAGGAGTCACTCTCCCACCCACCTTGCACATGCGCAAGGACGGGTCGATCTTCCCGGTGGAAGTCCCTCTCTCCCTTCAAGCTTTCCCCCTCGTTCTAATCCACCTTCCTCACCCCCTCATCACTCCCCATCCCCCTGTGCAGGTTTGAGTGGATGCACATGCGCAAGGACGGGTCACTCTTCCCGGTAGAGGTGACTCTCTCCTTTCTCCAGCTCGAGCACAACTGCCCCATGCACATGGTCGTCTGGCACCCCCTCTCCCACCTCAGAGGCGTCTCAAGACTTTAACTTCCTCTCACCCGCTCCCACCCACCTCCCCGTGCAGGTTTGAGTGGATGCACATGCGCAAGGACGGGTTGATCTTCCCCGTTGAAGTGACCCTCTCCTTCCTGCAGCTGGAGCACAACCGCCCCATGCACATGGTCGTCTGGCACGACCCCTCGGAGATCAAGCGCCAGTCAAGGGAATATTGCTTCTAACCCCTGCTCCCTCCCCTCCGCCTCGTTTCTCAAACAGGTTTGAGTGGATGCACATGCGCAAGGACGGATCCCTGTTCCCGGTAGAAGTGACCCTCTCCTTCCTGCAGCTCGAGCACAACCGCCCCATGCACATGGTCGTCTGGCACGACCTCTCGGAGATCAAGCGCCAGGCGAGGGAGCTGCAGGCGGCTAAAGAGGCGGCGGAGCGGGCGAATCAAGCCAAGAGCCAGTTCTTGGCGAACATGAGCCATGAAATCCGCACGCCCATGAATGGTGAGACTGAGGCATGTTGTGTGTGTGGTATTTGAGTCGACTCAGAAATTGTGTCGTCTGGCACGACTTGTCCGAGATCAAGCGCCAGGCGAGGGAGCTTCAGGCGGCTAAAGAGGCGGCGGAGCGGGCGAACCAGGCCAAGAGCCAGTTCCTGGCGAACATGAGCCACGAGATCCGCACCCCCATGAATGGTGAGACTGAGGCATGTTGTGCGTGTGACATTTGAGTCGACTCAAGATCTGCAGGCGGCTAAAGAGGCGGCGGAGCGGGCGAACCAGGCCAAGAGCCAGTTCCTTGCGAACATGAGCCACGAGATCCGCACGCCCATGAACGGTGAGCCATGCTGTGCTTGTGATGTGATATGCGCAGTCCAACAGGGCTTATACCTGGAGATCATCCGCGCCTGCTTTTGAGACGTCTCAAAAGTGAGCCATGCTGTGCTTGTGATGTGATATTCACAGTCCAACAGCGCTTATACCTGGAGATCATCCGCTCCTGCTTCTCATGTTGCCATTAACCATCCCCTCCCCACCTCCTCCCCCCCCTTTTCTGCCTCCTTCAACCCTTCAGGTGTGATCGGGGTGGCAGAGCTGCTACTGGGAACAGGCCTCACAGCGGAGCAGCGTTCCTACCTGGAAATCATCCGCTCCTCGGGAGACAATCTTCTTCGCATCATCTCGGACGTGCTCGACCTCTCCAAGATCGAATCCAAGAACCTCCTTGTTCAGCGCTGGAGAGTATAGAGTTCAACACGCACCTCCGTGTTGTTGCTTCCCCCACCCCTCCCCAGGTGTGATCGGGGTGGCAGAGCTGCTACTGGGAACAGACCTCACAGCGGAGCAGCGTTCCTACCTGGAGATCATCCGGTCATCGGGGGACAACCTTCTTGCTGCTTCCCTCCCCCCCCCCCCCCCCCTCTCTCCCTCCTGCAGGTGTGATCGGTGTAGCAGAGCTCCTGTTAGGCACGGACCTGACCGCCGAGCAGCGCTCGTACCTGGAGATCATCCGCTCCTCGGGAGACAATCTCCTGCGAATCATATCCGACGTGCTGGACCTGTCCAAGATCGAATCCAAGAACCTGGCGCTGGAGAGCATCGAGTTCAACATGCACCTCCGTGTTGTTGCTTCCCTCCCCCATTCCCAGGTGTTATCGGAGTGGCAGAGCTGCTACTGGGAACGGATTTGACAGCCGAGCAGCGCTCCTACCTGGAAATTATTCGTTCTTCCTGCTCCCGTCCTCATGTTGCTTCCCTCCCCCATTCCCAGGTGTGTTCGGGGTGGCAGAGCTTCTCTTGGGCACGGACCTGACAGCCGAGCAGCGCTCCTACCTGGAGATCATCCGCTCCTCCTGCTCCTGTCCTCATGTTGCTTCCCTCTCCTCGTTCATGCTCCCGCCCCCAGGTGTGATCGGAGTGGCAGAGCTCCTGCTAGGCACAGACCTGACAGCCGAGCAGCGCTCCTACCTGGAAATCATTCGCTCTTCAGGAGATAATCTCCTTCGAATCATCTCTGACGTGCTCGACCTGTCCAAGATCGAATCCAAGAACTTAGCGCTGGAGAGCATCGAGTTCAACATGCATCAGCAGGTGACGGAGGCTCTGGCGCTGCTGGAAGTGGTGGCCAAGGACAAGGGGCTCTTCCTGGAGCTGGATATTCACGAGGAGGTGAGAGCGAGGGCAGCAGTGAGTGTGTGTCAGTACGGTATACAGGGAGGCAGGGAGGGTTCAACATGCACCAGCAGGTGACGGAGGCTCTGGCGCTGCTGGAAGTGGTGGCCAAGGACAAGGGGCTCTTCCTGGAGCTGGATATTCACGAGGAGGTGAGAGCGAGGGCAGCAGTGAGTGTGTGTCAGTACGGTATACAGGGAGGCAGGGAGGGTTCAACATGCACCAGCAGGTGACGGAGGCTCTGGCGCTGCTTGAAGTGGTGGCCAAGGACAAGGGGCTCTTCCTGGAGCTGGATATTCACGAGGAGGTGAGAGCGAGGGCAGCAGTGAGTGTGTGTCAGTACGGTATACAGGGAGGCAGGGAGGGTTCAACATGCACCAGCAGGTGACGGAGGCTCTGGCGCTGCTTGAAGTGGTGGCCAAGGACAAGGGGCTCTTTTTGGAGCTGGATGTTCACGAGGAGGTGAGACAAGGGGGTGGGGGGGGACAGTTGTGATCTTTGCTGCTATGAGTGTTAACAACAGGCTCTGGCGCTGCTTGAAGTGGTGGCGAAAGACAAAGGGCTGTTCCTGGAACTGGATATCCATGAGGAGGTGAGTGAGGAGGTGAAGGGGGGTGGAGACGACGTGAGAGGGGGTAGCTGCAAAGTGGGGTGGTGAGGCTGCAAGTTCTGAGGCACCACAAAACTGACATAGTCCGCCCGCTCCTCTCCCCTTTGCTATATTGGTGCGACTTTTGAGAATTCTCAAAAGTCGGTTTGCAAAGTGGGGTGGTGAGGCTGCCGGTTCTGAGGCACCACAAAACTGACGTATGTCCGCCCGCTCCTCTCCCCTTTGCTCCTCTCAAACCTCGTTCCTCCTCCTGCAGGTGCCACCGGTGGTGATGGGGGACCCTGTGAGGCTGCGACAGACAGGTGCTACTGAACCTCGATTCTCGTCCTTCAACCTCACTTCGTCTCTTCGAACCCCCTTCCATTCCTCTCCATTCCTGCAGGTGCTACCGGTGGTGATGGGGGACCCTGTGAGGCTGCGGCAGACAGGTGCTACTGAACCTCGATTCTCGTCCTTCAACCTCACTTCGTCTCTTCGAACCCCCTTCCATTCCTCTCCATTCCTGCAGGTGCCACCGGTGGTGATGGGGGACCCTGTGAGGCTGCGGCAGACAGGTGCTACTGAACCTCGATTCTCGTCCTTCAACCTCACTTCGTCTCTTCGAACCCCCTTCCATTCCTCTCCATTCCTGCAGGTGCCGGCGGTGGTGATGGGGGACCCTGTGAGGCTGCGGCAAGTCCTGCTGAACCTCATTTCAAACTCCATCAAGTTTACCGAAACGTGAGTTAATGCGCCTTCGAAGCACAATAACGGAGACGGGAGTTTAGGCGATTCAAAGGACAATCGCAATGTGTAGTGTAGGGGTCAGCGAGTGGGGATCGCCCTTCACTTAGGTGTGGTACGACGGTCAGGAGTGGCCACGCAGGCAGAGCTGGGGGAGGTGGAGGAGGCGAGGAGGGAGAGCAACAGTAAGAGGCTACAGAGTCAGTGAATCAATCAACCCCAAAGAGACGTCCCTTCATACTCATCCCTTCCTCCTTCCGTCTCCTCTCCTTCCCTTCCATCCCCTTCCCTTGCCAGTGGCGGCATCACAGTGACACTGCGACTGGCCACGCAGGTAGAGCTGGGGAAGGTGGAGGAGGCGAGGAGGGAGAGCAGCAAGTAGGAGGCTACAGGCATCACACTCCATGCACACTCATTCCCTTCCTCCATGTCATTCCCTTCTCGTCTCTTCCTTTCTCCCAGTGGCGGCATCACTGTGACTCTGCGCCTGGCCACGCAGGCAGAGCTGGGGGAGGTGGAGGAGGCGAGGAGGGAGAGCAGCAAGTGCATGAGCGTGCAGAGGGGGGAGGGCAAGGAGAAGGGCGAGAGCATTGCTGCTGGCAACCTGTTGACCTCTGCTGAGGAAGGAGTAAGAGCAAGAGGAGGAGGAGGAGGAGGAGGGAGGAGGAGAAGGAGGGAAGACCGGAAGCGGTGGTGGTTCAGGAGGAAAGGGAGGGAAGGGTGAGAAGGGTGAGAAGGGAGCGGTGAAGAGAAGAGAAGCAGCAGAGTCCGATGGGGCAGGGAAACCAGAGGAGACGGTGGTGGTACGATTCGAAGTGAGGGACACGGGAGTGGGCATGGACGAAGCAGCAAAAGGGCGGCTGTTCAAGGCGTTCTCCCAGGCGGACAACTCCACGAGCCGTCGCTATGGTGGCACGGGGCTGGGATTGGCCATTTGCAAGAGCCTGTGTTTCTTGATGGGGGGAGATATCGGCATGCACAGCCAGGTGAGGGGGGAAGGGAGGGGGAGGGGAGGCCAAGGGGCGGCTGTTCAAGGCGTTCTCCCAGGCGGACAACTCCACGAGCCGTAGATACGGCGGCACGGGGCTGGGATTGGCCATTTGCAAAAGCCTGTGTTTCTTGATGGGGGGAGATATCGGCATGCACAGCCAGGTGAGGGGGGAAGGGAGGGGGAGGGGAGGCCAAGGGGCGGCTGTTCAAGGCGTTCTCCCAGGCTGACAACTCCACGAGCCGTAGATACGGCGGCACGGGGCCGGGGCTCGCGATTTGCAAGAGCCTGTGCTTCCTCATGGGGGGGGACATTGGCATGCACAGCCAGGTGAGGGGCTGTGAGGCGTCGAAGGTGGGAGTGGGGTCTATCATTTTCTTTTCTACTTGAGAATGCAGCGAGTCAAACAAACCCAAGGAGAGTCCCAAACCAAGCCAGGCGTTATGGTACTCCCGCTATACCAGGGGTCGACCTTTTTCTTCTACGTGAGGATCCAGCCAACCAGGCATCATGATCCAGACAGCTCAAATCCCTTTCTTTTCCTTCCCGTCCTCTCATCCCCCCCTCTACCAGGTGGGAGAAGGATCCACCTTTTTCTTCCATGTGAGAATGCAGCGGGTGAACCCCAGGGAGAGCCCCAAGCCGGCAAGCCGGCAGGGGAGAGTGCTACCAGCATCAATTCAACCCCCATACAATCCCGTCTCTCCCTTCCATCACTTCCCTCATCTAGGGGTCGACCTTTTTCTTCTACGTGAGAATGCAATGAGTGAACCCCAAACTGGCAAGCCGGCAAGCTGGCAGGGGAGAGTGCTACCAGCAGCGATGCAACCCCAAAACAACTCCTTCTCTCCCCTGTAATCCCCTCCTCTTGACCAGGTGGGAGAGGGGTCGACCTTCTTCTTCTACGTGAGAATGCAACGAGTCAACCCCAAGGAGAACCCCAAGCCGGCAGGGGAGAGCGCCACCAGCAGCGATGCGGAGCCGCTGTGGGTGCAGCTGCAGCACATTCGCGTGCTGGTTGCCGAGGTGAGACGGGCGTGACTAGAGCTTGTGGTGTCATTAGAATCGTGTGTGTGATTAAAACCGTGTGTGTGTGTTTGTGTATGTATCATGTGTGTGTTGCCGCTGTGGGTGCAGCTGCAACACATTTGCGTGCTGGTGGCCGAGGTGAGGAGAGGGAGGAGGGTGTGATTGTATGTGGTGTGGTCACACTGTGATGGGTGTATCTGTTGCCCTGTGCAAGGCGTGTGGTGTGGTTGTATGGTTTCTCACAGAGTCACAAGGCAGGGGAGAGTGCCACGAGCAGCGATGCAGAGCCGCTGCGGGTGCAGCTGCAACACATTCGGGTGTTGGTGGCCGAGGTGAGGAGGGGTGACTAGAGCTTGTGTGTTTGTGTATCTATCATGTGTGTGTTGCGGCTGTGGGTTCAGCTGCAGCACATTTGCGTGCTGGTGGCCGAGGTGAGAGGGGTGCTGGCGGGTGGAGTGGGGTTAGAGGTTGGTTCTTGTATGTTGTGTGATTGCAGAATCTGTTTCCTGTGAAAAACAACAACGTGGGCCTCAAATACGACTTGGTGGAGAATGGCAAGCTGGCTGGCTGGTCGTGTGATGTGAGGGGCTCAACTCAACTCACTCCCCCCCATCCATCCGCTTAACTTCCTGCCCTAAACCACCCGCACCAGGACAACAAGGTGAATCAGATGGTAGCAACCCGCATGCTGCACAACCTGGGGCTTAAATACGACGTGGTGGAGAATGGCCGGCTGGCTAGCCGAGAGAGGGGCTCCCTCCTCTTTTCCCCACAACCCACCCATTCCCTTCCCTTCCCTTCCCCGACTGCCACCCCGCGCAACCCCTCTCCCCTCCCCCCTTTCCCCCACCAGGACAACAACGTGAATCAGATGGTAGCAACACGCATGCTGCACAACCTGGGGCTCAAATACGACGTGGTGGAGAGGAGAATGGCAGGCTGGCTGTGCAGGCGTGCTGTGAGAGAGGCTCACTCCCGCCCAACCCACCCATGCACCATCCCACCTATTCCCCCACAACCTGCTCGTGACCAGGATAGTAAAGTCAACCAGATGGTGGCGACATGCATGCTGCACAACCTGGGGCTCAAATACGACGTGGTGGAGAATGGGAGACTTGCTGCTCATTCCCTCCCAACCCTCCCATGACCCCCACTCACCCCCCCCCACCCATCCCCCCAAACCCTCCCCCCCCCCCCCTCCCGCCCCCCTCCACCAGGACAACAAGGTGAATCAGATGGTAGCGACGCGCATGCTGCACAACCTTGGGCTCAAATATGACGTGGTGGAGAATGGGAGGCTGGCTGTGCAGGCGTGTACTGACCGCCACTATGACGTGGTGCTCATGGTGAGAGGAGGTGGTGACAGCATTCCCTGTTCCGTGTGTTTCATAGGGGTATTAGCACTTGGGACTATTTCAAGAGAATGGCAGGCTGGCCGTGCAGGCGTGTACTGACAGGCACTACGATGTGGTGCTCATGGTGAGAGGAGGAGGTGACCGCATTCCCTGTACCGTGTGTTCCATAGAGGTAGCACATGGGACTATTTCAAGGGAATGGGAGACTGGTCGTGCAGGCGTGTGTTGACAGACACTACGACGTGGTGCTCGTGGTGAGAGGAGGTGGTGAGTGGTGGTGACCGTGTGCAGACTGATGATTCCTTGTACAGGCGGGGCGACTTGGTGTTATAATGGTATTGACACATGGGACTATCTCAGGAGAATGGGAGACTGGCTGTGCAGGCTTGTACCGACAGGCACTACGATGTGGTGCTCATGGTGAGAGGAGGTGGTGATGTTGAGGGGAAGGGGGAGGCACTATGACGTGGGGCGCATGGTGGGTGAAAGCATTGGCATAGTATAGCATCTTCCATGAGGTATTAGCAGTCTGGGATTACCTCAGGAGAATGGCCGGCTGTGCAGGCATGTGCCTACTTGCCGTATGGCGTGATGGTGATGGTGATGCTGATGCTGATGCTGATGCTGATGCTGAGTGCTCATGCTCATGCTCATGCTCATGCTCATGCTGATGCTGATGCTGATGCTGATGCTGATGGTGAGTGCTGATGCTGATGCTGATGCTGATGCTGATGGGGATGGTGATGGTATGCCATCTCTCGTTCTCCCCAGGACTCATTGTGTCACATTTGAGAAATCACAATCTTGACCTTTCGAATCGATACTCTCCTGCTAAATTCCATTCCCCTCTGCCCCCTCTCCCCCTTCTCCAGGACTGCCACATGCCTGAGATGGACGGGTATGAAGCCACACGCCACATACGGGCCATGGAGGAGGAGAGACTCGCTGCCTATGCTGCTGCTGCTGTTTCTGCTGCTGCTCTCCTGATTCCTTCCCCTCTCGCCTTCCCATTGCCCCTTCCCCCCCCCTCTTCTCCAGGACTGCCACATGCCTGAGATGGATGGTTATGAAGCCACCCGCCACATACGGGCCATGGAAGAGGAGAGACTCGCTGCCTACGCTGCTGCCGGTGGTACTGGTGCTATTGGCAGGGGCAGCGGTGGTGGTGGTGGGTACGGTAGGAGTGGCAGCAGGGGGGGTTACGGCAGCAGCACAGACGGCGACATGAGTGAAGCGAGCTCCCCCAGCCATCCCCACAGCAGCAGCAGCTCTCGCACCCGCCGCTCCCACCGGCCCCGCCGGACATTCATTGTGGCGCTTACCGCATCGGCGCTTAGCGAGGATAAAGACTCGTGCATGGCAGTGGGTATGGACCATTATTTAGCTAAGCCTATTCGGCCGCGGGACTTGGAACGAGTGATAAGAGAAGGGATGGTTAAGAGGAGGAGAGAGTCTATTAGTGAGGAGGTAGGGTGTGAGGGGAGTGAGGGGTCATTGTCCCCTCAGATGGCTTATAAAGGGGATGAGGGGCCGGTGTCCCCTCTTTATAAGGGCTCTGAGAGGGGTGGAAGGGCGGTATCCCCTTATAGGGGGGGTTATGAGGGAGGGGAGAGGCCTTTGTCTCCTCTGACGTTTAAGCAGCGGCAGGAGCGGGGAGTGCAGGAGCGGGGAGAGCAGGAGCGGGGAGAGCAGGAGCGGCCACAGCAGCGGCCACAGCAGCAGCAGCAGGAGCAGAGGGGTCATCACAGAAGGGATGAGGGGAGAGGGAGTGGGGGGAGAGGAACAGGGAGGAGCCCTATAAGGGGAGGGATGGCAGGTGGGGAGGGTAGAGATCAAGGCAGGGAGGGGAGAGGCGAGAGGGGAGAAGGGAAGGGAGAAGGGAAGGGAGAAGGGAGAGGAGGAAGCAAGCTCCCTCCGACCGTCCCAGTTGTTGGCGGGAGCGCTGGAAATTCAGGTGAAAAATCAGGTGGGTATTCAGGTGGGGGAAGTTTGAAATATGGTGGTGGCGGTGGTGGTGGTGGTGTGGGGTTCGGTCCTAGTCCCTCCTTTGGCGCTTGGCAGGGCGAGCGAGATGATGTGCGCGAGTGGGGAGAACGGGAGGGCGGTCAGGGATCGGCACTTGATGCATTCAGGGAAGGAAACGAGGGGGAGGAGGAGGAAGAGGAGGATGAGGAGGAGGAAGAAATGATAGAGGTGCCTAAGAAACCAATGGGTTTCGCTCCCAGTCCGTCCTTTGGTGCTTGGGGAGGGGGGCCTAGTGTACAGGGTCTGAGAGTAGAAGTTTCCGCAGAGGGAGAGCAGGGTACCACCATGCTCGAAAGCCCTCCCATGCAGCAACAGCAGAAGCAGCAGCAGCAGCAGAAGAGGAACCAGCACCAGCAACAGCAGCAACAACATCAGCAGCGGCGGCAGCAGCAGCAGCAGCAGCAGCAGCCACTACCTTCGCCTAGAAGGAGCCCCCACCAACAGCAACACCACCACCCTCCCTTCCTCCTCACTCCTCTCCCCATTCCGCCTCTGCTTCTGCCGCCACTCGTCACGCCCCTCCTCCTTCCCCCAAACGACCACCAAACCAGCAGGCTTCCCCGTTCCCCTCTTCTAAGCAGGCTGGGGGCCAAACCTCCCGACAAGGTTCGGGAAGAGGAGGTTCGGGAACAGCGGAGCCGCTGCGGTCTCCCAGGCCCGGCCGGTCCACTCCTGAGGGACAGGGTTGGGGACGGGCGAGTCCACGGGGTGGGTATGGCGGGGTGCAGAGCGGTGACGATGGGTCGAGTGCGGGGTCCCCTTCTAGTGTTCGGTCGTGGGGGAGGGGTGGAGGCGAAGGGGGGTGGGGGGAGGGGGGTGATATTGCTGAGAGAGGGAGGGAGAATGGGAGGGACGGGGGAATGGAGAGGGGGAGGGGGAGGGAGGGCGTAAGGGAGAGAGACATGGAAAGGGAGAGGGCGAGAGATAGGGAAAGGGAAATGGAGAGGGAGCGTGAGAGAGAGTTGGAAGAAGAGTCTGATACAGGGAGTGTGGTGGTGAAGGGGGATGGGTGGAGTGCCGGGGAGAGACTAAGTGATGTTGAGGAGAGGGACGGGGAGTGGGATGAAGGGAGAGAGTGGGGGAGGGGGAACGAAGGCGAGAGGGGGGATGAAAGAGAGAGGGGGCGAGAGAGGGGGCGAGAGAGGGAGGAAGAGAAGGAAGAGGAGGAAGAGGAGGAAGAGGAGGAGATGGTAGGTGTTCCTGAACCAAGACGAAGCAGAACAGCAGGGGCGAGTGAGCACAGGCAAGTGGGAGAAGAGAGAGATGCATGGGGAGAACGTGAAACAGGAGGAGTAGGAGCGAGGGGATGGGATGGTGAGAGACACGGGAGGAGAGGGAGCGGTGGAGAGGGTTACGGGGAGGTGCGGTGCGGTGAGGTGGAGGTGGAGGAGACAAGGAGAAGCAGCACCATGGGGAGAGTTGAAGCGATGAAAATGAGAGGCGAGAAGGGGAAGGGCCGGGAGGGGAGAAGTGTGTGGGAGGGAGAGGAAGGTTGGGAGCAGGAGAGGGAGGAGATGGATGGGAGGAGGGGTCGACGAAGCAGTTTGGACGGGGAAGACGTTAGCAGGATGGATAATGGCAGGATGGATAGTAACAGGATGGATAGTAACAGGATGGATAGTAACAGGATGGGTAACAGCAGGAAAGCTTTTGATAGTGGTGACAACAGAAGACCTGCTACTGCTGGGTTGACGCATGAGCATGAGGGCGAGCACGTTAGTAGCACAAGTAGCACGCGTGGGCAAAACGCCCCAAGTGAAAGAACAGCCTCCTGGAGTTCCCAGGACAGTGGGAGAGGAGGAGCGGGAGGGGGAGCGGGAGAGGGAACGGGAGGGAGGAGTGGGATAGGAGGAGGGCCAGAGACGGAAGATGAGAGGATGCTTCGGGAGTTTGCGCTAGCGGCGCTGACGTCCAAGGGGAGGGGTATGGCCGTGGGTAGGAATTTGGGTCCTAGTGTTGTCGCCCCCACTCGTCCCCTTCTTGGTGCTCCTGCTTCAAATGCTGCTGCTGCCGGTGCCGGCGCTGGTGCTGGTAATGCTGGTGGTGCCAGTGCTGGTGCTGGTAATGCTGGTGGTGCCAGTGCTGGTGCTGGTAATGCTGGTGGTGCCAGTGCTGGTGCTGGTAATGCTGGTGGTGCCAGTGCTGGTGCTGGTAATGCTGGTGGTGCCAGTGCTGGTGCTGGTAATGCTGGTGGTGCTCGTATCACAGCACCCTCGATAGAGGAGGTGTGGGAGAGAATCAAATCTCCTACGGCGGCAACGGCTGCAGCCGTAGAAACAGCAGGAGCAGCAGGAGCAGCAGCAGCAGGAGGAGGAGGGGGAGGAGGAGGAGGGAGAGGGAGAGGGATGGGAGGAGGGGGAGGAAGGGGGAGGGGGATTGAGGGGGGAGGCAGGGGGGCAGCAGGAGGGGGTGGGGGGCGGGGAACACCAGTAGGGGGAAGGGGGGCCCTGTCAGGGGGGAGAGGAGCAGGGGTGGGGGGAGCAGTGGGAAGGGGAGGAGGGGTAGGGGGGCCAGGAGGGAGGGGGGCAGCGGGAAGGGGAAGGGGGGATGTGTTCGGAGGGGAAGGGCGGGGGGGAGGAGGGGGAGGAGGAAGAGGGGGAGGAGGAGGGGAAGGGGGAGGAGGGGGAGGGGGAAGAGGGGAAGGGGGAGGGAGAGGGGAAGGGGGAGGGAGAGGGGAAGGGGGAAGCGGCAGAGGTACTGTAGCAGTAGCAATGAAGCCTCCGCACAGAAGATCTCCATCCAACGGCTCGGATCAGGAGTCACGTAATCAAGGGCCAGGATCGACCGGGCCTCAGAATCGACGGCTGGGAATGGGCAAATCCCCCATCAAGATCCCTCCAAGGCCCACAGGTGGGTTTGAGGTCTGGGGAGGAGCGGGAGGGGCGGGCGGGGGAGGAAGGGGGGGAGGAGGAGCAGGAGGAGGAGGGGGAAGAAGTCCAGGTTTCAGCCCAAAACCACCTGTAGCTGGCACCGCCACCACCACCGCCAACACCACCAGCACCACGAGTGGTAGCACTACCATTAGTAGCAGCAATGCTAGTGCTGGTGTGAGTGGTAATGCTAGCAGCAGCGGAAGTGGCATTAGCAGGAGTGACTCTAAGGAGGGGCGAGGGGTGGGGCATGGTGTTGGGAGTGGGAGAGAACAAGGGGGGAAAGGGCAAGGGGTAGGGCGGGGTTCAGAGAGTGAGTTTTCAGGGTATGGAGAGGGTAGGGACGGTAGAGATGGTAGAGAGGGAATGGCGAGAGGTGGTGAGGAGAGCGAGGGGAGGATCAGAGGTAGTGGGGGTGCAAGGGGAGGAGGAAGCAGGGGAGCAGAGGGAAGACGACAAGGAGAGAGTGGTGCAGAGCGGTGGAGAGGGGAGAGGGGGGGCAGGGGCGAGGATGGAAGAGGAGGGGAGGCATCTGGGCCGCTGCCGCCCCGTGCACGAGAGGAGAAAAGAGAGGGGAGAGAGAGGAGAGAGGGGAGGGAAGGGAGAGAGGGGAGAGGAGACGAGGGGGGAGAAGGGGCGGACAGTAGAGAGGGCAGAGAGGGAAGCGAGGAAAGAGAGAGGAGAGAGAGGAGAGAGAGGAGAGGAGCGGAGCCGTCTCGAGGAGGAGGGGAGGTACCTCGTCCGTTGGTGCGCAGTACGAGCATGGAGCCACCGTTGCTGCAGCAGCAGCAGAGGCGCACGGGGTCAGAGCAGAGGGCAGCTCAGGACCTCAGGATGTGGATTGAACGCGCGCACAACCCACAAGTTGACAAGTGGATCTCCCAGGTGAGGGTAGTGCAGTGTGTGGGTCTCCCAGGTGAGGGTAGTGCAGTGTGTGGGTCTCCCAGGTGAGGGTAGTGCAGTGTGTGGGTCTCCCAGGTGAGGGTAGTGCAGTGTGTGGGTCTCCCTATGTATTTGAGCACGGGGCCGGAGCAGAGAGCAGCACAGGACGTGCGGATGTGGATTGAACGCGCGCACACAACAAGCAAATCGATAAATGGATCTCCCAGGTGAGGAGAGCAGTGAGTGGGTCCTGCTGACAGGTGAGAGCAGTGAGTGGGTCCTGCTGACAGGTGAGAGCAGTGAGTGGGTCCTGCTGACAGGTGAGAGCAGTGAGTGGGTCCTGCTGACAGGTGAGAGCAGTGAGTGGGTCCTGCTGACAGGTGAGAGCAGTGAGTGGGTCCTGCTGACAGGTGAGAGCAGTGAGTGGGTCCTGCTAACAGGTGAGGAGAGCAGTGAGTGGGTCCTGCTGACAGGTGAGAGCTTCCAGCTGGTTATCCATCCTGGTAAATTTTTCTTTCCTCCTTTGCGCAATTTCCACCCACCACACCCCCCCATTCTGCAGGTCGAGGCAAACAGCACGCCACCCAGACATGCAGCGCACAAGAAGACAGGGAGCGAGGTGCCGGCGTTTCTACCGCCCCTCTCCTCCAGCCCGGGCGGCGCGGGTTCTTTGCGCCGCTTGCAGAGCTCTCCCCCCATATCCCCAGGTAGTAGCCCACATAATAGCCCAGGAAATAGTCCGGATAGCAAGGGAAATCGCAGGGTAAATAGTAGCAGGAATCACAGAGGTGGTGCCGTTGGTGAGGGAAATTCGTGGGCTCGTAGGAGGGGTGACTTGAATGAAGGTGATGATGAGGAGGATTACCAGTTTGTGGGTCAGCAGAGGAGCAAGTCTGATGGAAATTCGTCCATGAAAGCAGCACGTGAAGCAGAGCGGATGCGAGAGGCTGATAGGTACAGTAGGGGTGGAGGAGAACGAGGACGAGCGACACAATATGAGTATGACTGACACTAACTTTATTGTATATGTCATCAAATATATTTATCGTTTAGAACGTTGTGCATTGTGCTCTTAGTGAGTGTTGCTGTCATTATAAGAACATTACCTTAAGAAGTTATAGAGCCAATCACAGTACCAATACAAACGTTGTTTGTATATTTGCGCAAACGTTGTTCCAGCTTTGTTGTCTTTCGCGACAGGAATCTTGCGATTGGCTAGCGATGATAAATGGTAGCCAGAAAAGCTAGCTGCTTCGCTGGACCACTGGCATCACGCGCATTTCCCATCTCTTCGCCGCAACCACCAAACTGCAGCCCAGCGGATAACGCTTCCATCCGACCAGGGCATCTGCGATGCCACGTGGCACGAGTGAACCACAAGAAAGCCGTCCGACTCATTTCCACCTGGCACATCGACGGTGAGATCTGCACGAAAGCCTCCCAACCATCACAGATACCATACCAAAAGTCCCGCGCTCTCGTTCCGCCACTCCCTCGAGATTTCCTTTTCCCAGCCAGCGCCGTCCCTCTTTCCCGCGGTTCTCCGCGCACCCATTGATTTCTGCTGCGCCAGAACGGTATTCTCGAGGAACATCCCCCCAGGGGTACTGTATTCCGCGCGCCATTAGGTTTTATTTCCGCTCCGCTCTGCACCTGGAACCTCCTCCCTCCCAAGGTTCTGATTTTTCTCTCATCTCTCCCAAGTCTCTCTAGCTCCATTCCGCTCTCAGAAGCTGTTTCCAGCTTCGCTAGACTGGTTCCTTGTCTTGTGAACCTTTTCCCAAGACGCCATGGCCGCCGCTATGTCCTGGAGCACCAAGCTCGCGTGCCCTTCTTTTGAGGGTCTGTCCAGCCGTAGCCTGCCTTCCAGCCGGGTGAACGCTGACTCCAATGTGGAGCTTAAGACTAAGGGCGCAGAGGGTGCTCCCCGCACCACCTGCTCGCTGAAGGCGATGCGCGACCGTATCGAGTCGGTTAAGAACACCCAGAAGATTACCGATGCGATGAAGCTCGTCGCTGCCGCGAAGGTGCGCAGGGCTCAGGAGGCCGTCGTCAACGGCCGTCCCTTCTCGGAAAACCTCGTTAAGGTGCTTTACAACGTTAACGAGCAGCTCCAGAACGAGGACGTTGACATTCCCCTGACCGAGGTCCGTCCCGTGAAGAAGGTCGCCATCGTCGTTAACACCGGCGACCGCGGTCTCTGCGGTGGCTTCAACAACTACGTCCTCAAGAAGGCCGAGGCTCGCGTGGCTGAGCTGACGAAGCTGGGTGTCGCTTACACCATCGTGTCCATCGGCAAGAAGGGTAACGCCTTCTTCAAGAGGCGTCCCCAGTACGCCGTCGACAGGTACCTCGAGGTCGGCGCTGCTCCCACCACCAAGGAGGCCCAGGCCATCGCCGACGAGATCTTCTCCCTGTTCGTGTCGGAGGAGGTTGACAAGGTCGAGCTGATCTACACCAAGTTCGTGTCCCTGATCAAGTCCGACCCTGTGGTGCACACTCTCCTGCCTCTCTCCCCCGCCGGCGAGGTCTGCGACATCAACGGCATCTGCGTCGACGCTGCTGAGGACGAGCTGTTCAGGCTGACGACCAAGGAGGGCAAGTTCGCCGTCGAGCGCGAGACTATCAGGACCGAGACTCCCGAGTTCACCGGCGTGCTAGGGTTTGAGCAGGAGCCTGTGCAGATCCTGGATGCTCTGCTCCCGCTTTACCTGAACAGCCAGATCCTCCGTGCTCTGCAAGAGTCCCTTGCCAGCGAGCTCGCTGCTCGTATGAATGCCATGGGTAACGCCAGCGATAACGCCAAGGAGCTGAAGAGGAACCTGAACCTGACCTACAACAGGCGGAGGCAAGCCAAGATTACTGGCGAGCTGATTGAGATTGTTTCCGGCGCCAGCGCTTAAGTAAGTTCTGGTTCATGACATGTATGCTGGGGTAGAGAAGCTGTCATGAAGCGTTTTTTATTATTACGTTCACCCTGTGATATCAAACCATTTGTCGACAATATCGCCTCAATTGTGTTTAATTGCTATTTAGACTGTTAACGTTCTCCTGCAGACGCGAGACAACGTGTGGATCTGAACTTTGAAATCTCCCTTGGCTACAGCTGATGAAGAGAACAGCAGACTTGTGCAATACTAGGAACACATCTGTCTTGATATAAAGAGGGGAAGTTGGCAATGACATACCCTGGTTTCTTCCTGGTGACATCCTGGTCACATCAAGCAGAGTCTGGCCAGTGTCCTGGTTTCCCTGATCCATCTACCAGTATTAGTCACAGGTTGATTTAGAAGATGCATCAGATTCTCTTGGATCCGCTAGTAAAGCACTGCAGGGTTGCCAAAAACTAATCAGAGGCTGCAGTGCTTCACTAGCGGATCTTGGTTGCAGAGGCTGCAGTGCTTCACTAGCGGATCTTGGTTGCAGAGGCTGCTAGGTGTTGGAAATATACAATCATAAGAAAGTTATATGCTGTTAGATTTTAGTGTAGTCCCCTCTATAAGCATCTAGGCCCTACAATAATTGTACAATTCTTGTAGGGGCTGATTGGCTGGAGTCTAGAGCTCCTGGGGGTAGAATTATTGGTACTCCTTTATTGGAGCTGCCATTATTGGAGGGACAATTATTGGTGGGGATGGCTAGGCTTTGGCAGGGTAGTTGCATGGATAAATACCCTGCTGTGTGCTTTCATTATCAATCCATTCCTTTGTTCTGAGTCCTTTCAGTTGCAAGGTTTCTCTTGCTATTCTATCATACAATCAAGGCTTCCGCTACGACGGCACTATGCCTTTCTAGCATGGTATCAGAGCTACTCTAGGGGGCATGCTGCCGAAATTTGGTCAGAACTCTGTTACGATTCATATTGGGCAGACACGTTAGCAGATTGGCATAGCAAGAGGCAACTATTGGATCAAAGCATGGGGCTGTTCGACAATGAAGTCGACACTGGATACAAGGCGGTCGAAGAAGCAATCTTGGCTCAACATGAGCACCTGGAGAACATGATTGCAAGAGCGCCGCCAACACTTCAAGCGTCATTGGGAGCGAAGTTAAACATGCAAATTGGTGAAGAGAATGGCAGATTTGATAAAGTGGGCGTGGAAGGTGTGAGATTGGAATCTTACACTATTGGTACTCCCCCACTTCAACATTTTGCCACTAACTCTTCTTCCATTGGAGCCCCCGTAATAGACAGATCTCACCTTCTTGAAGACAGCATCATACCTTCTCGCGCGCCTCGTCCACTAATGGGAGTGGATCCTGCATGGAGCATGGAGCACACGGGACAGGGGATGCAGTCAAATGGTGATTTGCGACGTGATCGCGCGGATGTGGTGAAGCATCACTCCTACGATCAAAACGGCGGGAAGCAACGCATGGTTTGTCAAGCGTGCATCGACATATCACATGCAACGGAGAAAACCGGGACCATGAATGCTGCAACTTCAAACGGAGGACATCAAGCAACGTACGGAGAGAAAATGAAGGGCAATGATGGAAAGGGCGGACGCTCAACTCTCATGTGCTGGTTTTGCAAGCAACTGGGCCACCCGTTCTACAAGTGTCACACGGCACCACCAGGATGGTCACCACCGGGGTGGGAACACCAGAACAGAAGGAGGACCAACCGACGTACCAGCAACAGCCGTTCGTCCTCTCCTCGAAAGAGTGGCAGCCCCAAACGTGACAACAACGGGATAAAGAAGCAAGGGGCAGCCGGGAAAGACAACAAACGGATGGTTACATGCATTGCGACGGTTCGATCATCACAGACGACCTCACCAAGTGCTGGAGGTTCTCTGTGGTTGCTGGACAGCGGATGCAGCCAGCATATGACCTCGGACAGAAGGTGGTTCGAGGGTTTGAAGGAGCTGTACGAACCAGTAAAGGTGGAGCCTGCTGATGGGAGCACACTGAACAGCTCAATGGCAGGCACGATCAGAGCAACGGCAATTGATGGGACAACGGTGCGTTACACGGAAGTGCTCTACGTATCCGGTTTGAAGAGCAATCTCCTCTCCTTCTGTCAACTGATGAAAAAGGGAGCCCGGATTCGCACCACTGCTGATGGCGACACCGAGATCTTCATGCCTGATGGAGATGGAGGTGTACGAATTGGACTTGGCAAGGACGTGCATGGAGTGCTCATGATGGAATATCAGCCAGCACTTGCCCTTGCCCATGAAGCTGGACATACTCATAAGGATGCATCATCGAATGCGCATGGTCATGGCAGATTGAATGGTCAATCTGCTCCAGCATCCGACACTTACCGTATTGCGCACATGGCTCGTGTCATGAGGGACATGACACGTGACGTTTACAAGGACACGCACTCACCGCGCACCTTTGATGACACGTTGCTGGGAGCTGGGTCCTTACTGAAATGGCAGCAACATGATGATGAAGTCTCACCCCACGTTGCGGCGTGGACTTCAGGGGGATTAGGACAAAGGCTCAAGATGGATGAAGGAGACTCCATTGAACATGACTTACCTGGAGCTGATGAAGACAACGCAACCAACGGAAGAGGTGCTGCAGCAAAGGACTTACCTGCAGAAGATGATGCTGAAAGCCAGGTGGGATATGCAACAACAGGCGTGCGCATGCCTGACTTGACATACAAGGAGACAGAAGACAAGGATCAGCCCGCACCCGCCAAAGAAGGACATGACATCATATGCAGCCGCATGAGCGGCGTCCAACCGATTCCACATGGTGCAACATCTGCAAAGGTTCAGAAAGTCAATGGTGCTGATGCAGCACTCACATGGACGGACTCCTCAAGGTGTGCTACCCAACCGAACAGCACGTAGCACCACACTCCTCACTCATGTGTTTGCACATGTGCATGCTTCCAAACACATGAGTGAGAGGGGGAGTGGGGTGTGGAGCATCTTATACGCTGGAGGGGGAGACATAAGTTCATTCTTCGGTTTTCATTATCATTTACATGAGTCAGGTGTCAAGTGAACGACCTACGGTTAATGTTACTTAACAAGAAAAGGGGATCACTGACGCTGCCGTCCTGCACCAGCAGCTGCTGCTGCAATCGGTCAGCACTTGCTGCAGTGCTCCAGCTAATGCTGTCCGCGGGCATCCGTTGTTTCAAGTGTACCTGCTGGTTTCGGGGGGAGTAACATGACACAATGAGTTACGTCATCAAAGGATTGGCTTCATACAGTGGAGAAAGGAGAAGGGCAGACATAAAGCTACATCTGGTACAAGGTTCTGAAGCTGCAAGAGATACAGCCCACGGTCTGCAGCTTACCATGGGGCAGCTGCTGCTGGTCGTGTGGGACAACAGCTGCTGTTGCTGCAGGCCACCAGGCGCTGGAGCAGCCCGCCAGGTGCAGCCCACCAGGCGCAGCCAGCCCGCCAGGTGCAGCCCACCAGGCGCAGCCAGCCAGGTGCAGCCAGACAGGTGTTGCTGCAGACCGCCAGCTGCTGTTGCACTCCGCCAGGTAGTGCTGCTGGTGTGGGGTGTGAATTAAGAAAAACAGGAATGAGAATGACTAAGTGAAAGTTGGGTACAAGAAGCAAACCCTAGAAAACTGTACCCCATATGTGCTACCCCACTCTAGCCTACAGTAGCTATGTCATATAAATCTGACACACCCCCATAGGCAAAGTGGGGGAGAACAAGGGGTCACAAGACCAGTCAAGCAAAGCAAAGCAAAAAACAAGCTCAGGGTGGATCACAAAGTCACCACACATTCCGAGCACAAGTTCAAGGCCACAAGGCCAGTTCACAAGCAGGAGTACACATATATATAAAAAAGGCTAGACAAACAAGAGCAGGTATATATATATGTAACAGTACAAGCAAGGTCAAGAGGTGAGCAAGTGAGGCAAGGTAGGCACAAGGCCCAGCTGAGTACAGAAGCGCTGATGGTCACAAGGCGCAAGTGCCTTGGTGAAGATATCAGCAGTGTTGGCCTCAGAGGCCACATACGCAAGACGCAGCTGACCACGCTGCTGCAGCTCACGAGCAAGAAAGTAGCGGAGAGCAATGTGCTTCGTTCTGTGCTCCAGTCGCTGCTCCCGACACAAGGCCAGCATGGCCTTGTTGTCTACGTACAGCACTGGAGGAGAACGAGGCAACTCTCCGAGGTCAGTCAGCAGGTAGGTGAGCCAGCGAAGCTCCTGTGCAGCCATGGCTCCTGCGTAGATCTCAGCCTCACAACTGGAGCCGAGAACAGAAGACGAGCGAGTAGCCCGCCACGAAACAGAGCCGGAACCAAGGCTGAAGGTGTAACCCTGTGACGACCGCTGCGTAGCCTGGTCGTCAGCCCAAGAAGCGTCTGCGTGCCCAGTAAGGACCACTGGACTCTGCCCTCCAAGCACAAGCCCCATGCCCGACGTACTGCACAAGTAGCGCAACACCCTCTTCGCTGCAGCCATGTGCTCCGGTCTGTGTCTCCCAAGAGCAACATAGCGTGCAAGAATGCTAAGAGGGTATGCAAGGTCAGGTCGTGTGCAGGTCATCAGGTACATGAGGCAGCCAACAAGCTCTGGGTACGGGCCACTCGACTCTACGGACTCATCCGAAGGCAGAGCTGAGAGCGAGTGGCGAGTAGGCAGAGGAGTGGCCTGAGGCGAGGAGTACGTGAAGCCGAAGCGCTGAAGGACCTGCTGCACCATGTGTGACTGAGTCAGGGTAATGGTGCGGCGTGCTCTGTCCCGAGTGATCTGCAAGCCAAGGTAGCTGCGCAGTTCACCCAGGTCAGTGCACGTGTGTCTCTTCTGCAGCTCGGACTTCACGTGGGCTAGTCCAGCAGTGTCAGCTGTGGCAAAGACCAAGTCGTCGACGTACACGAGGATGTAGAACGGCGGCAAAGAAGTGTCGGTGCGCAGAAACAGCGACGGGTCGGCAGTAGAGGGAGCAAACCCAAGAGCCGCA